AGAGAGAGAGAGAGAGAGAGAGAGAGAGAGAGAGAGAGAGAGAGAGAGAGAGAGAGAGAGAGAGAGAGAGAGAGAGAGAGAGAAAGAGAGAAGGACGCTGGCATATGACTGACACTTCCTATCAATATTCACGCAACACGTTAGAAAACAAAGGAAATTTTCTTACCTGGCTTTTGTCACCCCACTCAGAGAAGAACGCCAGTGAGAAGGCCTGCCATGCCAGAACACATAGCAACCCATCAACACAGTCAGACGTGGTGCATACGTCTCTCTCTCTCTCTCTCTCTCTCTCTCTTCCATCACACCCAACCACCCACCTCTCAGTAGCCCAGCATCGGCAGCACATGGATAAAGTGTACGTTACGCAGGAAGCACATCATCAGTAGGACAGAGAGGTAATGCTACCGCCGTCACCCAATAGAACGCCCGATCATTCTCGCTGTTTTTAGACTGCAAGTTGGACAAAACACAGGTGTAATGACGTGCGTTCTATTCGTGTGAAGACGTTGGGCTCAAGGGATAACTGAGAGAGACAGAGAGAGAGACAGAGAGAGAGAGAGAGAGAGAGAGAGACTTCCAGCAGTTTTCGAGATTGAAGAGGCTGTGGTCTAAGAGAAGTGATAACGTGTGGAAGACAGAGGAAGGACCTGGAGGACATGTTTGAGTATGGCGGACTCGAAGAGAGAGTATGTATGTACGACCTGTTGGTCCACACGTTCTTTCGAGAAGGGAAATTCACCGAACAGCAACCCTTTTTTTTTTTTTTTCCCAGTAACTTCACTCGCTGTGTTCTTTCGAGAAGGAAAATTCGTGAACATAGAATGGACCCACCTTCCTTTTTTTTTTGCTTGAAATAATTTATTGGGAAGAGACGAAGGTCAGGGGTAGGAGGCATGGAAGTAGAGGAAGAGGTGGAGGAGGAATAGGAGGAGGAGGAAGAGGAGGAGGAGGAGGAGTGACGTGTGACAATGCCAGAAGAAGGGGCTTTTCTTGACTCATGCTTTTTTTTTTTTTTTTTTTTTTTTGAAGCATATAAACCCCGTCTATTGGTGGGGGGCGTCTCATGCACTACTGGCCGTTTTTTTTTTTTTTTTGAAACACATAACCCCGTCTATTGGTCAATCAGATCTTGACCGTGTTGTCTGAAGAAGGTTTTGTTACGCAAAAAGAGGAGGAAGAGGGGGAGAGGGAGGACGAAGGGGAGGAGAGGGAGGAGGAAGAGGAGGAGAGGGAGGAGGAAGAGGAAGGGCACGCTAAGATTTTGCTGTATTTAGCTGACTGCAATTACGGTCAGGTGTGAACGTATCTGACAGCGATCACGTCCAGAGGTCGGTTGAGAACAGTCCTACGTAGCATGAGTACACCCTTACAGCTGCAATCATCCTCTCTATGTGAAGTTCTATAACCGTCAACATCAAATCTCAAGTGTGTTTCTCGAATCGGGCACCACAAACAAACTAGGGACATGCCTTGAAATGTCAACAAGGGGGGGTGTGGGTGTAATGCACAAAATTATATCACCTTCTTTTTTTCTTTTTTTTTTCTTTTTTTTTTTACCACCACCACTACCTTTCCCTCATGTCGGCCGTGGGATGGGTCCCCGCTCATTTTGGAGGGCCGGTACGAAACGGCGGCCGCTAATGAGATTTAAGGTCAGAGATTACTCGTCTGACACGGCAATGAGTTTACCACTTTCATCGGCGAACAATCGAACCCTTGGAACCTCGACCTTCCACCATTACTGATGGGGTAAGACTATGCCTTCGACGGCGGTCACCGTCGGCCCAGCCCCGGAAGAATGCGGAGTAGGCTATTTTCCATGGCTACGATCCGGACGTCCCGACCACCGTCCAGACGGTCTGGATTCATTCCGGACTACAGACATCCGGTCTGGAAGGTCCGGATCTGCCAAATTTCGAGAAAAAGAAAAAAGAAAAACGGTCCAGGACCCTTCCCCGTTGAGGAGCCAAGCCCCCAAAATTGTTTTGGGGGGTTTTCAGGCCCGTTTGTGCTTTTTGGGGGGGTCCAGACATGCTCTCCCTCTATAATAATTTATTAGACACCCCCAATTTCTTAACTATTAATAATTCATTACCTTTGTATTAGTTTTTAAAGTCTTTTTTTAAGCTTTCTATAGTTTTTGACTTTTAACCTACGTTGTTGGACCGGACGTCCGGGACCCCCCTGACCGTCCGGGATGTCCGACCGGACGTCTGGTCGGATGTCGGACTGGACAGGGTATGTCTAACCTAGCGCAAAAAAAAAAAAAAAAAAAAAAAAAAAAAAAAAAA